TCAGGCAGTGACAGAAACTGAAAATTTATGGCACAGAAGGGAAGAATTTTATGATCTTCTATGGACTAATGTAATGACTCTTCTATACAAACAAAGATGGGATGCATTTAAAAATGTAGCTACTTAGAAAATTGGCCCGAACACATGGATAAATTCATTAGAGGGAAGAGCTGTGAAAGTGCCCTCTGGTTTTAGTTCCATAGAATGCCTTACTTTTGAAATACGATTGCTTGATTTTAATGCATGCTCTGAGCATTTCAAGATATGGCCCTCCACTGAATTCTTCTGGCACAACATGGTGCAGAGGTGCTCTTATTTTCAGGGTTAATATTAATGCTATTTAAATAGCTGTTCAGAAATTAGATTCAGCCACATGTTGAGACCTGCTTTCACTAAGGACATTCAATTCAAAATTAGGCTTTTCATTATGAACTAATGCCTATATACTGATGTCCTTGAGTATGTCCAGTCTCTTCAAATTGATAATTTTGTTTTTATGGAATCAGAGACCTACCACAGACTTAGACAGAAGGAGAAATTGAGTGTCCTGGGGAGCCTTGATAAGCTTTTCTCCCACTCAGCCTTGGCATGCAAAGTCTTCTCAGATCATGTTCTTAAACTAAATTTCCCTTGACCCTCTGTTTTTGTTATGAACGTTGTCATGATCTGCACTTTGGACTTGTTTAGCCTGAGCTTTTCAACCGTTAAAAATCTTTGTAGTAACCTGGATAGAGCTTGAGAAGAGGAGCGTGATCTGTAGGAAGGATGGATTTGGAGGATGCTCTGGGGAGCTGGATGGCTTGAATGCCAGCTCTGTCCACAGCTTCTCTGCAAATCACCCTATTAATAAAGAGCCTGCTTTAGTTCTGGAATCATGGAGTCATCTTGTGCTATTACCCAGCATGTGGTAAATTAAACAATCTTGGCCTGATTGCATAATGTAACTTGAAATTTAAGATCCTTTTTCTCTTTGAGCCCTAAAATTTACAGGCCGTTTTTGTTTAGATTAATTGTAATTAGATAATAGTTCTGCTTCTTTGAGGCTCTTCTGGGAAGGTTTTTTTTAGCACCTTGATGACTAATCTCAAAATAAGCAAAGGATCCTCCCAGTCTCCCTGTGTCTGGTGTGGCTCAATGCAAGGGAGGCTGTGGTGCTGAGGTATTGAGAAGTGGCTTGGCACGGGGCTCCAGCAAAGGTCAGTCAAGCGAAGTATTGTGTGAGGGCAAATGTGTTTCAATCCCACTGACTCACATCTGCTCTTGTGTCTGTCTTTCAGGAAGAGATACTGGCATAGGTTGCACAGAGAGCTGGTGGTGCCCTGTGCCTGGAGACACCCAAGGTCAGGCTGGATGGGGCTCTGAGCACCTGATGGAGCTGTGGGTGTCCCTGTTCATTGCAGGGGGGTTGGACCAGATGGCCTTTTTAAGTCCCTTCCAACTCAGATGATTCTATGAAAGTCACCACTTATAGGATTTCTAGTCCAGAAGTACCAAGTTCTATCCTGAAATCTTTTCCTTGTCTCGACTGTACTTAAACAAGCTTGCAAGTTCCCTTGCTTGCTTATGTTCAGTCTAGAAGCAGGGATCAAGTTTCTTTCATTTTTGAAAATCACAGAGAAAAGACAGGCTTTTTTTTTTTTTTTTTTTTTTTTTTTTTTTTTTTTTT